TCTGTTTTGTTGATTACGTTTTCCAAAAGCGTGGACTTAACACGGTAGGTATTTATAAAATATTTATTACAGATTTTATATATAAAATAAGCATTTCTTGATTTAATGGAGTAGTGTCTCCCCAGCTTCAGTCTTCCACAGACCTGTGTGAGTTTTGCCAAATCTGTGAACCAAATCTGTGCGTTTTTGTTTCTTGTTTTCCTTAAATCGGCTCCAGTTTTAAATGTATGTCTAATAATCATGAAACTGTTCATTTATATATGGGCTAGTTATCTGTTCTATTGCAATAAAATAAATATATGACTTTTAAAATATAAAAATACTCATCCGTGTGCCATTGAAAATAGGCTCACCTACTACAGTGGCCCGCATACCATTAATTGCCAGAGAAATACTGATGTTCAGAACGTTCTTTTATGTTTTTCTCTTTCCTCCCTATTAGATTCCTTTACTCTAACAGAGGTGTGTATACATGAGAGCCGAAACTAGAGCTGTTCCTCATTAGGGAGCGAAGTGCTCTTAATTTTATAGACCTCTCCCCACCTTCCCTTCCCCAGGCTTGTTTTCATAGGATACCAGAATTTCTGAATTCACAAGTCCCTCATTCAAGGCTGACTGTCCCTTGACCCAGCCAGTTTTCACTGATGTCTACTAGTAAACATCCTAAGAGAGCTGTGGAGGGAGAATGTTGGAAGGTAAACACCTGTATGCCACAGCACAGAGTAATGATAGAACTGAGGGCTGCATTCTCTGGCCTCAGCCTCACTGGGCCTCTCGGAGACTCACTGAGATTTGAATGGAAGCAGAGTGGAAAAGACTCTAGAGAAATAGCTCATCCTTCTTACAAATGGGGCAACTGAGGCCCAGAGGGGCAAAATGGCACATCGTGGGTCACACTGTTGGTTGGTAACAAAGCTTAAAGCTTCACTCACCTACCCGTATCTCTCTCATATTTACTTCACTGTCTCAGAAGCATGGTAAGGACAGTCTCATGCTGGGAATCATAAAATCCCGGCATTAGGAATGGCTGTTTTCCAAAGAAGGAAGAACAGGCCCTAAACAGCCAAGGTCACTGGTGTGAAACCTTCAGAATGATGGGAACATGGCAAAACCACTCGTGACCTGGAGCCCGCTTCACCGTTAAGGGGATTTCTAGCCATGACATAAGAGCAAAGTATAGATCATCTTATCCTCAGGTGATCTGGTGCCCTGCAGCCCTACTCAGGAAACTCCTGTTCTAGAAACCAAATTCAGATCATCTCTACAGTTAACAGCTGCATCGAATAGCCTTGAAATGTCCCCATGATTCCATAACCAGAGGAGCCCACGCCAAATGCTAAGTGGAAATTCTGGAGCTCCGAGTCCTGATAGTGTTTTTTGGTTTTGCCGGAGTTTAGGCTAAAAACTTTTTGACTCATGACTCATCAGAAGGCTGTGGCTCTGTTGCCTTAAGTATGAATTGCAAAAGTCAAAACCAACCTCCAATCTGATAGCCACATACCAAGGGTTTCCTATGCTCTGGCAGGCTGTCGGACACAAAGATGAGTCAGGGAGTGTGGACCAGTGGGCTAGCCAGCCAACCTAGAGCAGAAACATGGTGTGACAAGTCAGAGGTCATTGGCTCTGTGAAGGTTTCCCAAATGGGAGAGTTAATGGATCCCAACCCTTAGGTATCATGGTACCCTACACAGCCCTCTGTAGTCCTTTACATTGTTCTCTGCTCTGCTTGAGGCCTGTTGCCTCTTTGGACAGTGAGTTCCTAGTGGGTAGACCTTATTTTGCATTCCTCTGTATTCCCAGTGGCTAGAATATGTAAGTGGCCCTCCAAAATCCTTTTATGGGGAGGTATGACCAAAGTCCTCGGAAAATGCCATGTGACTGACGCCAACCAAGTGGGTCAGTCAGCTTGAAGGTCTCAGTGTGACACAGAAGGCATTTGAGCAGGGGTTTAAAAGACACGTGGAAGTTTCTGGGAGCGAGCTGTTTTGGCCCAGCGTGGTATGCGTCCTACCTACATCGTGCGAGCCCTTCCCCAGCCTCCCTCTTTCCCCCGCCCCTGGCCTGGCACCTTGGATCTGAAGGAGACAACATCTTTAGCTTAGTCTGCACATTTCACTTAGATGAGCCAGGTGTCTGTTTCACTCTGGGTTAGTCCTTGGCTAGTTAGCTGTTGGTTGATTTCTACCTGTGTTTGTTAGTGTTAGAAATACACAGACCTGCTAGGTAGGAGCATTTGTCAAACCATTGCAAGCAAGCTTTCTTGAGGTTCTAAGGCATGTGTGGGAGCAGAGAAGTCCTACTGATCCGTGCACTTACACTCAGTGGAATGTGCCTAAGACTTCTTTAGGAAAGAGGGGCACACCTCTGAATATGATGCCGTTCTTGTGAGGACATTGTTACAACCTGCCCCCAAAGACCCCCTTTTCTTTAGCTCTTATTTTCTAAAAAAAATGATAAAATTTATCAGCCATGTTAGTTATCCGTTCCCCTGCTGGACCGTAAATTCTAAGAAGGCAGGGATTTTGTTTTGCATTGATGTATCCCAGGTGCCTAGAACAGCGTCTGACATACACATTGAATGAGTGAATATTGACATGAATGAATATATTGAGTGAACAAATGAATACTTTTGCGTCAGATCTGAACCCAGGTTAAGGGAAAGACAGTTGCCTTATGAGAAGTGGAACTCGGGATTGGAGGTCACCAGTATTTACTGCAGAGAGCCAGCCTCTGCATTATAGGCTGCCTCCTTTCCAGAGGCTGGGCTGGGCTGTGCCCCAAAAAGGATGGCATGAACATACCTTAGCAACAGAAAAGTTGATGCCTAAAAAGCACTCCTACCATTTAAGTGCCTCTTGTTTAAATATATCCTTCACCAAAGGAGGTAGCTGTGATACAGTCCCAAGAGCACTGTATCAGGAGACCTGGGTTCAAGTCGCAGCTATGTCCATGCCTAGCTCTGTGGTTTAGGGTCCGTTACTAGCGCTCCCATGAGCCGCGGTTTCCTCACTCATAAAAGGGGGATAGTGAGCCCCTCTTCACAATGTGCCTAGCTCTCTCTGTACCTCCTGATACCAGGAGACCCTCCATAAGCAGCGTCAGGCTGCTGGAGACCCTCTGAAAGGCCGGCAGTGTGGGTGGGTTCCCGAGCCTGTTTGCAAGCCGGTCTCCAGCTCGCCCCAGGAAAAGATCCAACAACGCCTCGTGAGTTTTGTTAGGGAGGATTGTGCAGCACCCCCCCCCCCCCCCGCTCCAAACCCAAATCCCCAGTAAGTCAGGAAGATGTATGTGTTTTAAAACATTGGGAGGTCTGCTTTGGATCACCCTGGAGCTGTGGCTTCCCGGAGCAGCTGGGAGTGAGTGGAGGAAAGCCGTTCCTCTGTCGGGAGTTCTCCCGGCTCGGTGCTCATGTCCCACACAGGGGCTGCCTGCACTCGGCTTTGGCGGCCGTTGACTTTTAAATCATAAAAAGCCGCTCTATACACAGTTTACTCTGTTGCTAGAAGGCAGCGGAACATAGGTATTAAAAAAAAAAAAAAAAAAAAAAAAACGGGCAGAAGAAGCAGCCGTTAATCCCGCCAGGCTTCTGGGCACTGGAGCAGTTGCGGATGACAAAAGTTAATTAGAAACATGAGCAGTTTAACTGAAAACACTTGTGACAATTGGAAGGGCAGCCTCTCCGGTCAGAGAATTTTTCCTAGGGAGCCGTTGTGGGAGAAAGTGGCTGCCGCTAGGTAAGTCGTGTTGTGGTGACTTTGCAGACACGGACGTGCTCTTCGGGGGCTGAAGGGCCACATCCTCTCCGTTCCGTGCACCGGGCTGCGTGGGGTGTGGGTGGCACGGCGCCGGGCTCAGCCGTGGCATGCCTTCCCGGCCACTTCCTATCTGACAGCTGCCCCTGTGTGGGCGATAGAGCTGCTTGGTTCTGAGTGCTCGTGGCGGAGGGCATCCCTGATCTCGTTTCCGTGGTACGGGCCGCCTCGGCCAGCCGAACTCCAGCTTGGGACCCGCCCTTAAAATCATTCTGACTCCACTTTGCAAATACCTTGAGGCATTTCGGAGAAGAGAGTCTGGCTGGGGAAATACACCCTAAGCGCCAAAGGGGAGACCTTGACTTTCAGATAACCTGTGTGTTTTCATGCCTACAGTAAATCGATGTGCAGTTTATACTCTTAAGCTAAAAAATCTTTTTTAAGTCTTGCCTGAATCATGCTGGTACCGCTTTCAAAATGTCAACATAGGAAAAAGCATCTGTGCTTTGATAGGACTTAGCAACTTCTTTGGGTAATTATTCTTCTGTAAAGATTACGCTTGGTTTCTCTTTCTTTTTTGTTTCATTTTAATGTCTCTCCTACATTTTCTTAAAGGCGGCTAATTTTCAATTATTTCGCATTAACCGGGAAATTGGGTTGTGGGTCGAATAATTCAAAAACAGTATGTGTTTCCTACATCTTTCGTGGTGCAGGTTTTTGGTTTTTTACCAGAAACGCATGCTTAATTGTGCTTTGCACATGTTGATATTAAGATCAGTGTGCATTTGCACAGCAGATACCAGGATAGGACGGGAAATGCGAACTGTGTGTGATGGAGAGCAGGAGGAAGTCAAGGTGGGATTTAAAAACTTAACCACCGGTGGGGCGCCTGGGTGGCTCAGTCAGTTAAGCGTCTGACTTCGGCTCAGGTCACGATCTCACGATTCGTGAGTTCGAGCCCCACGCCGGGCTTTGTGCTGACAGCTCAGGGCCTGGAGCCTGCTTCGGATTCTGTGTCTCCCTCCCCTCAGCTCCTCCCCTGCTCAGACTCTGTCTCTGTCTCAAAATACATAAAGATTAAAAAAACAAAGAACGACTTAACCACGGGTAAGGCACTGGAGGGTGGTGGAGCTATCTGAGCGTTTGGGTTGAGAGTGATGAGCTGTGGAACCATGGTCCACCCTCCCTGGCCATCAACGCAGGTCCACAGGTGTAATTCGGGTTTCCTTCTCTTCCCCGTCTCTGCAGAGCCGTTGGCGAGCCCAGCCTCCTCCCACCCCGGAATGAGTGAAAATGCACCTGTTCCTCTGGAAAGTGGCAGCAGCCCCTCCCCTGCTAACAGCGGCACCTCCTCGGCCATCCCCCAGCCCGGTGCTGCCTCCAAGCCCTGGCGCAGCAAGTCGGTCAGCGTGAAGCACAGTGCCACGCCGTCCATGCTCTCGGTCAAGCAGCCCGTGCCCGAGGCCCCCAGGCCCAGCCCTGAAGCCATGAAGCCAGCCCCCAACAGTCAGAGGTCCATGCTGGAAAAACTAAAGCTTTTCAACAGCAAAGGGGGTTCCAAGGCAGGCGAGGGCCCGGGGTCGCGGGACACGAGCTGTGAGCGGCTCGAGATTCTACCCAGCTTTGAAGAGAGCGAAGAGACGGAAGCCACCAGTCGCTCGCTGTCCACGGCGGGTCCCGCTTCCAACAGCCCCAAGATCGCCCTCAAGGGCATCGCCCAGAGAACTTTTAGCCGGGCGCTGACCACCAAGAAGAGTTCCCCGAAAGGCAACGAGAAGGAAAAGGAGAAACAACAGCGGGAGAAGGAAAAGGAGAAAAGCAAGGACCTCGCCAAGAGAGCCTCTGTGACAGACAGGCCGGACCTTAAAGAGGGGCCGAAAGAAGACCCCAGCGGGGCGGCAGTGACTGAGATGCCAAAAAAGTCCTCCAAGATCGCCAGCTTCATCCCCAAGGGGGGGAAGCTCAACAGTGCCAAGAAGGAGGCCACAGCCCCTTCCCACAGTGGAATACCAAAACCAGGAATGAAGAGCCTGCCCGGGAAGTCCCCAAGTGCCCCTGCCCCTTCCAAGGAGGGGGAGCGGAGCCGGGGTGGGAAGCCGAGCTCGGGGCTCCCCCAGCAGAAGCCCCAGCTGGACGGCAGACACTCCAGTTCCTCCTCCAGCCTGGCGTCCTCAGAAGGAAGAGGCCCTGGAGGGACCACCCTGAACCACAGCATCAGCAGCCAGACCGTCAGCGGGTCCGTCGGGACCACCCAGACCACAGGAAGCAATACCGTCAGTGTTCAGCTACCTCAGCCCCAGCAGCAATACAACCATCCCAACACTGCCACCGTCGCGCCTTTCCTGTACAGGTAGGTGCAGCCGCCCGTCCGCCCTTGCTGGGCCGTGGGCAGAGGAGCCTTTCTGGTGGGTCCCAGGTCTTTGAGGGCAGGAACCCGGCCTGCCCTCCAGGAACATGAAAGCTGACAGCTAACGTACGCCTCGATAAGCTCCCAGTAGAGCCTTACACGTGTGCTTGAGGGAGCAGCTAGTACAACACGGCTTGGGGGAGCGGGAGAGAAAGCTAAAGAGAGGAAGCAAAATTCGAGCTGACCCCAGGATGAGGGGGAGTTGGCCAGGCACGTGGGGACCCAGGGGCGTTTCAGAAGCAGCCACAGCAGGAGCAGACACGGTAAGTGTGGTTTGGTATCACTCAGTGTGACCGGCCCCGACATCGGTCCTAACGTTTTCTGAACGTACCTTAAAAAATGAGAAACACAGATGTCACCTTGCTGAATGGGTGAGACCTCTTCTCACAGAGGCGTTCGTCTTGAGCTTCCAGATCCTCACAGCTGCTTACACATGGCACGTGTTAAGTATTTTTTCAGTCCTTGCTAGAATCTTTCTTCAAGAGAGCAGCATGAAAGGGCAAGGTAGTGATAGGAAGGGATCAGTTTGTTTTTTTAAGTTTATTTTGGGGGAAGGAGGGGCAGAGAGAGAGAGAGAGAGAATCCCAAGCAGGCTTTGCACTGACAGTGCATTGGGCAGCCTGATGCAAGGCTTGAACTCACAAACCGTGAGATTGTGACCTGAGTTTATATCAAGAGTTGGATGCTTCACTGACTAAGCCACCCAGGAGCCCCAGGGAGAGATCAGTTCTAGAAGAACAAAAGAATCAGGTTATATTGAGGAGACAAGCCTGGATGCTTGCTTGTCTGACTCCATTCTGTCCATGATCTGTCCCCCACACTCTCTCTCTCTACTGGCACATCCATAGGACTGCGGGAGACCACGTGGAGCCAGGTGCCGCTTGCTCTGTGTGCTTGTGGCCTGTGAGAGCCTCTCATTGCCCAGCCTGTACCACGCACCTTTGCAGGATGGAGGACACGGGCTCTGGGTGGTCCTTGGCCACGTGGACAAGTCCTCTCCAACAGATGGCAGCTGTGCTTTAAGGGACTCCCAGAGCTTTGCTCACAGTGCCCAGCTTAATCCTGTACTTGAGACATGGAGTACATTTGGCCATTCTGCACAGCAGAATGTTACTAATACCTCTGCATAGCAAAAGGGGCCTGATGAGTGAATGCCATTATCTAGGCACTTACTTTACAGCTTCTGCCCTGAGTATGTATACATATACACTGCACACACACACACACACACACACACACACGGACGCCCGTAGGCATGGACGTACATTGACAGCCATGTCCAAGTATGGACACAAGTTCACATACGTATATAAAATGCTAGTGTGCATATGCACACATATATTTTCACACCTGTTCACATGCAGACTCATGCCCATACTTTCAGCTTCCTGTGTTTGTGTGGTTCCCCCGAAGAAATGGATACCCCCTCTCTCCCTGCCTGAGTTGTGTTCTCGTAGGCTTTGTTACCATGCCTGCCAACAGTGAGTGGGAAGACTGGCCTGAGTGATTCAGAGTAAAGCCAGGCAGGTCCAGCCAGTGAGGCAAGGCCAGGCTTCTCTTTGTCCCATCCCTCCTTCTTTCTCTTCTGCTTACCCTCCCCCTCAGCAGGGGTCACACCCGGACTTTTTAATTGGGAGAAGGTCATCTTTTTATTACATCCAGTCATTAGCTCAGCTAACCATTGGAGAAGAGTGCCAGGGCTTTTAGATAATGACTCAGCATTCGTCTCCATGCAGGGCTTTTAATACAGTTGTTCTCTGAACCATGGAGGCAGCTGAATTGCTCCCCATGAAATTTTTATCATTCCAGTAACATTAATAGTCCTGAGGTAATACATATTCAAGCTACTGCTCCCAGAGTCTTGATTTGCATTTTCGAAATTAAAATATATGATGGTGTTTGGACACCATCCATTTCACTCCCTTTTTCTTTTTTTCTGGAATCATTTGAAAGATTGTAAAACATTTAACCTCTTTTAAAATTTCACGCTTCTCTGTGAGAGGAAAACTCTTAACGAAAGAGCAAATGTCTGACAAATACGAGAAATGAGAAAATGTCATGCGTATCTGTCAAGCTGTACTTGAATGTCCATGTTCACCCTGTGTGATGTCCCTCTGGCCGCTCTGATGTGCTTTTCCTTCTCAGGTGAGCCGGGATGGGAGTCAGGATGCCTGGGCTCTGTCTTTTATTAGCTTACAAGTCCCTGGGTGGTCTGGAACCCTTCCCTGTGGGAACAGCTATGGAGCACATGCTACGTATGTGCAGAGACCCTGCTAAGGCTTTTCATGCCTTCGCCCATAGAATCATCCC